AAGTTTTTTTGCGAAAAAGGTGGGTGTGTATCTGGTGAATATACATATTGCATGATTAATGCGACCTTGACAGGGGTGGAGAATTATGTAAATCCCAGGGTTGCCTTTTCTGGACGGACCTATGCACCTACCCTACCTACAATTTCCCCAATTTCATTCAAAATTAGCTACAAATGAAAGGTTGCCTTTTGTTCATGGGTACCTTTGGAAATAAGAGTGTGTTTAAAGGGACAGTATCACCATTTTGATGAAATTTGACATTGCATAGGCCCCACCTTTCTGGTCCGGGAACTGAAGACCGATCCTCGAAGCTCCACACCGTTATCCCGGTATCGCCGCTCAAAGTACGAAAGGTGTACTACACTTTGAATCGTGCTTCACTATCTTCACTGTTTAAATGTTTGCGCCGTTTTGAATTGACCGCCAGTAATAAAACTTTTACCCTGGTCATTTCGTCAAATTTTATAAAGCCAAAACGTTTTTCGCACTTATTCATCACCGTAAAATTCATTAAATAGTCGTAGGCAATTTCCGCTGTTTCCTTCGGATTCTAGCGGCTCAACAAAGGAATTCCTCCAGCTTGAATCACAATCCCCCTCCAATGTATGACGTTTATCACGTGATTGTCACGTGATATTTTCTCCCATTGTCAATTGTCACGTCCAATCGTCACTCCCTCCAATTGTCACGTGATATTTTTATAGGCAATACCTAAGGCTACCTCTCCCTAAGGACAACTCAATCAGAAGAACGACCGCGTAAGCGTAGCGTCAATAATGTATTATCTGCGCCAGTTCTGTAGTAATTTTGCATGCTTCCAAACTGGCGGCCATGCTTGTATAGTGGTGGTTCGCTCATGAAAATGAATCATGAAAATGAAATGTGGTTGCAATATTTTTCACCGAGTTCGGTCCTCGAACTATGTTTTTCTGATTCAGAAAAATAAGAAATGCTAGTTAAAAAAAATCAGCTCCATACATTGATTTTTTTTTCGATGATACTGTCCCTTTAAAGGAAATAGTTCACTTTCACGAAATTATTTTTTTTTGCAACGGATTTATGATTTTTTATGTTCAAAATAATCAGCAAAGAAAATAAAACCTTTTTATAACAAAATATTATTTTCTATATTTTGATATAGGAAGAACTTTTCAGTTTCTGTAAGGCACACGCGATCCAGTATGAAAAGAGCATGGGTCCCGAAAATTCTTCAGAAACAGAGAAATTATCGCAGCCACCGGCATTTGGGCGATCTGCTCGATCTGATAATGTTCCCCTGAATGTCCTAATTGATCAGTACGAGAATTTCTCTAGAGTTCTCGTAGATAATTTCTCTAGTTTCTGAAGAATTTTCGGGACCCATGCTCTTTTCATACTGGATGGAAATATATGCAAGGCACACATCCTCAACGCAAGACACCTTTTTCGGGACGAGAAATAGAATATCTTTGCCTAGGGTGATCGTTGGGCTGTAAAAGCTCCTGATTTATGCTCGTCTCAGCCCAAGCTACGGAACTGCTATTCCAGTTCAAAACCCATGTTAAAAAGTGAACTATTTCGAGTGTGATAAGAGAGTGATATGATGAGTGTGATAAGAGAGTGTGAAATAAGTGTGTGGAAATAAGAGTTTTTCGTCAATAACTAGGTACCGATCAAATTGAGCTAGCGAGTCGGGAAAGCCACCTATGGACTCAAGAAGACCTGCCGAATCGAATGATATGCGACATGACCTCCTTCGACCAATTTCGTGACCTGGGGACGCCGACCTGACCGTGACCCGAGGTCAACACCCTAAGTTTACCTCACCCAAACAAAAAGTATATCATTCGACGCGCCTGAGAGAGGCGAACACGATGCTGGCAAAATCGCGGCTCTGCGGCCATTTTTTGCGAAGTTATTCACCAAAAACGGAACCGTGCCTTGAGGCACTTGACCTGACCTCAGAGGTCACCGGTTTTTGTTTGTTTTGTTGGGTTAGGCCCTTTCAGTCCAATGAGACCATTTCAGAGTCGGAAGGATGATAGGATATACATAGGGGGAGACATTGGTCTGGGCAGGCACCCTAGTGAGTCGCCGGGGCTGAGCCCGTCCAGAGGACAGGCCACCTGCAGCCCCAAGGCACTCACTGCACCCGGCTACGGGGTGCGCTCCCTCGGGAGCAGCGGTGCCGCTCCAAGGGAGCAGCCCGCATGAGATAAAGTTGCCTGTCCAGCCCGGAGGGGGTTGCGGTGTGGAGGAGAAGGATTTCAGTATCCTGAGGATAGAAGCACGGAACGGTGTCAGAGGTCACTGGTTGACCTAGGACCATAAAATCGGGTATCGATCTCTGCGTCTCGTAACGGCGCACACGCTCGTTTTACCGCGACGCGCTAGCTCCACCTGGGGCGAAACGGCGAGGGGGGTCGTACCCGCCCCCCGCCCCCTCGGCCAGCGCGTATGTAGAAAACCTATAGGACCGGGCCGTGGAGGGTTAAACTGGCCTCTGAAGGCCCAGACCGTCTAAAAGTCCCACACCGGCCTCTGATAAGTGAAAGTCAATCAGCCCAGTTGCAGTGGTCGCTGATATAAAACCTCTTAAAACGTTATAGGCCTGGCTGAGCCTAGCTGGGCCGTTCATGCTGATTTTTATAGGTATATTGAAAAGACTCGCTTTGCACGTTTCACGCTTGCTCGTAATGAAAAAGTTGCTGGATGCCTCTGGAATTTGCATGGGTGCCAACGGCTGCGGAGGATAGAGGAACGCGTCCATCAGTTTGAGTTTATGGACGGGAGAGTGGAGACTCCCTGAAATTTCAACCAATTTTTTTCTTTTTTTTGTCTCTATTTTTTTACCTCTGAGCATGTTTGCGAAAACAAAGTGGCCGAAATCCGAGGAGAAATCGGATTTTGGGGGTAGGTTAGGTTTTGGATCTCTGGGACCCTGGCCCCCCCACTTTCGAAAACGTTCCTACGCCTATGCCCCCATGACATGAACTACGACCTGACCAAAAAAGTAGCGGAAGTAATTTCCTCATTATTTTTGACGCTCTTTCGAACGAAGGGCAGCTTATGGATTATGGGGATTGGGGATGCAAAAAGATATGTTTGCCAATGCACGCCTATGTTTTCTTATGAAAATTGAGGGTGCACCTGCACACCATGCACCCCCTCTTTCTCCGCCTCTGATTTCTTGCCACCCTTGCAACAAACGTCTTCAACTGCTCCCGAGTGAAAGAATGTACAGCCCTCAGCAGACTGCGTGGTAGGTATTCTTTTTTCGACAAAACTGGTAATAACTCAAAAGCTATGTTATCATTCGGTCGGAACTGACTGCAAATAGATGCGCCACGCTCCACTCCTTCGATTGGGTCTATCACTAAACAATGTATACGCCATGTGTGGCAACAAAATGCAAAAGTTTGTTTTGGGGGCAAATATACACTTTTCGGTTTTGTTGCCCTGGATGGAAAATGAATACGATGATAATGCCAATCTAGGGTACGGAGTCTCGCGTGTCTTGCTTTTACGATTTCTGAGTGACCGATAGCATAGTATTCGCGTTATTTTTAGTTTTGTCCAAAAAAGAATGCCTACCACGCAGTTTGCAGAGGGCTGTACCTACGTTAATATTGAGATATTCTCATTTTGTGGAGGTTGGGCAAAACCTAACCACTACTGGGGCATTCCTTGACTGTAGTTAACATGTTAGCCGAGGCCCTGGGGAGGGGTGTTCAAACACCCACTCCCCCTAGCAGGGCGTGGAAATCCTAGGATCGCGGGTTAACCCGCGCCCCGTGGGGGGGGGGGCGAAGCGGCCCCCCTGTCCTTTTCCATCGATATCTCCTAAACGGCTAGATATATCGCCACCAAACTTTCAGGACCTCTCTGGGCATCAATTTTACACATTGTGACCAAAAATTTTTCTAGAGGCTATGATATGTTGGCCACAAATGACGTCATAATGACCTCATGTTCTGCCCTTTTCGACCGAAAAAGACCTTCGCGAGAAGAGCTGTCAGGCCTACCTAGGTACAGCTTTAAAGATACAGAAAAATGATCAAAACATAAAAGGTGTAGAATTCACAGGGCTACAAAACTGCTATCTCGGTTTTTTTGAAATTTTTGAGTTTTGACCCCAAAAAGTAAAAAAAGCATTTTTTATATATTAGCCAAAAATCCAAAAAGTTTTTTTGAGTTTCGAAAAAATCGGAGTATATGTGATAGTACCAACCGTCTTCTATCTACATACCAAATTTCAGATTGATATCTCGTTTTTTTGGCCAAGTTATAGCGAAAAAACTGTTCGAAAATGATGACGTCAAATTTTCAAACTCAATTTTTGGCAATTCTAGACCACGTAGGGCAAAACAAAGACCACCATTAGACTCCCCGTGACGAGCTGCATCGAATCGATACCCGTTTTATGCAATATATCAACTTTGAAATTTGACCTAATTTGACCTGACCTTCACCAAAACGTGACCTATGCTGGCCCTAAAGGCTGCCTGACCCACATAATCGCATTTTTCATGTAAAATGGACCATAAAACATGTATCACACGACACTTTCATATTGTGACCCCCCAGTGACCTGACCTCTGTGACCTGACCTGGTATCAGTGACCTCGGATAGCAAAGTAGGTATGTGTTTGACGAACAATATACCATCGATGGTTTTCAATAACTTACCAATTTACTCGACTTTACAACACACTTCTTGAAATGCCTGTGAACGGTGAAAATCCGACCTTTGACCTGACCTGCGACGTCATCGGTTTGACCTAGGTCAATGAAATTTGGTCACAAGGTAGTTCCCCGGTGGGGCTATCGAACGCCGTTTGAATTTTGAAAATCGGCCGGTAAATTTCCGAAAGCTTAGGGGGGCCGAAACGTCCCCCCCCCCCCTACGGGTGTTAGGGTCCGCCGATAGCCCTACGGGGCGCGGGTTAATATGTATCCGATAGGTGAAAAGATCGATGAGCTGCCAGCACTGTCCACTGTGTGCCTTCTGTCTCCGGCAGCCGGCACGCCGGAAACTGGACCTGCTCGGTGGCGAACGTGTACGGCCGCGACGCGATGACGGTGCGCGTGCTGGTGCAGCGTCCGGCGCGCGCCGCGGCGCCGGCCGTGCTCGGCGTCGGCCGCCACTGGGTGCGGCTCGGCTGGAGTCTGCTGGACACGGGCGCAGCGCCGCTGTTCGGTGAGCGCGCGGACCCCGCCAATAGGGAGCACTGCTGTATATACCTACATACCCGTCGACAGGTTCAGTCCTTGAGGGAAAGAATTAAACCCCAAACGCTGTCAACATATGATAAAGTGCTGCTATCCTTTTTAGGGCGACGGGAGGTGTTTGGAAGTGCATATTTTATCGATATCAAAGATCTGCTGCCAGTTGTCGAAACTCGAACAACAGACTCTGACTCTTCCCTCAGAAACTCTATTCACTGGCGGATCCAGACTTGCGTTTTGGGGGGGGGGGGGCCAACTCCTGCAAGTAACCAAACCTAGGGTACCCCCAAATCCTGTTTTCTCATCGGATTTAGGCCACTTATTTTTTCGTCACAGCCCTGAAACGATATTTTTTTTAAACTAAAAAAAAAAATAGAAATGGTAGCCCACCCAACCCGAGCCTAAGTATTACTTTGAAAACACTTCAAATTGCTTTTGTCGACCAATTAGCCCGCTCCGGGTCGGTGCGTGGCGCAGCCTTCGCGGGCTGGGAGGTGTCGGTTGGACCCCCTGCCGTTCGGCCCCTGATTAAGCTAGAGCTCGCGGAAAAAAAACAGGCGTGTTGCCCGTGAGTGACGAGACGAAGCCGATGATACCCGATTTTAAGGTCCTTGGTCATTAGTTGACCTTCCAGGGCGGTGTTTCACGGTCGTGCTGACAGCCGCTGACAGCGCATTCCGCGAGCTAAGGTCAGCCTTCGGTAGTGTTGTGGGTATAGGCTTGTTGATGTCTCCATTGAAACCAAAAGTGCCATCAGCGCTGGCAGCGGCTGGCAGCGTGCCGTGAAACACGGCCCAGGTCAGGTCACAGACCCAAAAGACGGGAAAATCAGGACCTGTCAGAACCTCCTAAAGTAAGGCTGTAATACGTTTTTTTTTGTGCTGATCACAAATTTCATGTTAGTTTGGATCATAGATAATGTCTTCATGCGTTTAGACCATGTCGGGGCAGGTCAGGTCAGATCAACCAGTAGGAGTACTTATGGGCGTCCGTATAGCAGGTGTCCACTACCACTGGCAGCTACGTAACATGATACGAAGGCATCAAAACTACTTCGTAAATGTTCAAATGGCTGCAAAATGCTAAATTCAAAATCAGCTAAACGAAACTATCCTAGAAACATGTTAAACTCGGAAAAGTGCACCGAGGTCATCAAAGGTCAATGACCTGACTTGACCGTAAGGTGACATTGGCATCCGCCCTAATGCGTGGGAGCAACATCATATCACATGTTTGAGCGTTTTAAACCACGAAAAGACTATAAAAGCGCGGATAATGTGAGCCGACATACGCCGAATCGCTATTCCGGCCAAACATGGCCTCCAACATGGCCAAACAGTCTCGAGAAATAGGCCACAAGTCAAAGTTCACTTGGGTCAGGGTCATGAAATTTTCAGACTTTGTCACCATGAGGGTACTAAAGTTTCGTCGCGATCGGCTTCATGATACCTTACACGATAACTTCACACGTCGATCGAGAGTTAAAGCACATGGATGAAGGAGAACCAGGGGATGAAGGTTCTTTCATCCATGGTTAAAGTGTGCAATAAGAACTTCTTGGGTGAAGACAAGACCAACACTTTTATCAAGCTCACAGATTTTTAATGATACGGTATTTTCTCTCTACCTACTACGCCCTTCTCACATTCATTTTTCTTAAGTGTTTTTGGGGACAAAAAATATATGTTGTTCCCCTTTCAGGCTTGGGGGCATGACCCCGTGGCCCCCCTGGATCCGCTAGGCCGAAACTAACTAGGTCGTTTTCAAACGGTCTGATATTTCAGGTCATAGTTTGCAAACGGCCGGTGTTTTCAGGTAGTTTCATATGGCCTGACTGGGCCAGGCCGTTTGCAAACGGACCGAATTTTCATACGGCCTGTAACATATATTCAGATTTCGACACATCTGTCGTAGCATCAAATGCTGATGTGGCGCACTCAAAAGCCGGAATTGGTCCTTGGATGCCGTAAGGACCCTTTTAAGAAATAAGTGACCCGACTGACCCTTAGAGATTGGCCTGAGCTGTGACCGAAATAAGTCTTTTACCGTTTCGCAGGAAGGGACAAAAAGGTCCCTCATATGCTTCTTGTACAATTACGAAACAAAACAAGTTTTTTTTTTCAACGAAAACTCAGTTTTCCTAAAAAATTTATTGCGCATATTCCGTGAATGAAAAGTTGCCGGGTCATGTCAGGTCAGGCTGCCACAGCAAGTTTGTTAACTTGACAGCTCAATCGATATTTATGCAATAAGACCTTCTCGGGTGACGATAAGACATGACGACAATTTATGAAGGAAGCTAGTAAACCCGGTAGTTTCTCCATAGGCGCGGGAACCGGGGGGAGGGGGCAGTGGTGGCAGCTTGCCCCCCCCCCCCAACTCTGGGGCCGTGCGGGCGGTGCCCCCACAACTTTCAGACAGAATACCGCTCCTTTTTGCAAATGTTTTCTTTTTTTGTTGAAAAAGCCAAGGGATGAAAAATAAGTGGCCTAAAACCGGCGAGAAAACTATATTTGGGGGATCCTAGGTTGATCTCTATCATGGTGTGACCTCCCCCCCCCCCCCCCCCCGTCTAAAAGTAGTTCCCGCGCCCCTGGGTTTCTCTACGCTATTGAATCACGCTGCTGATTCTAGTAAGTATCTACTACACAACCTTCTCACATTAATTTTTCTTCGAGCGTTTTGGGGGGCCAAAAGATATGTTGGCCCCCTCTTTCAGGCTTTTTGGGCCCATGGCCCCGGTGGCCCCCTTGAATCCGCCGGTGGGGGCGGTGCCCCCACAACTTTCAAACGGAATACCGTCCTTTTTTGCAACTGTTTCTTTTTTTTGTTGAAAAAGCCAAGGGATGAAAAATAAGTGGCCTAAAACCGGTGAGAAAACTAGATTTGGGGGGACCCTAGGTTGATCTCTATTATGGTGTGCTCCCCCAGTCTGAAAGTAGTTCCCGCGCCCCTGACTTTCTCTACGCTATTGAATCACGCTGCTGATTCTAGTAGGTATCTACTACGCAACCTTCTCACATTAATTTTTCTCCAAGCGTTTTGGGGGGGGGGGGCCAAAAGATATGTTGGCCCCCCCTTTCAGGCTTTTGGGGGGGCCATGGCCCCGGTGGCCCCCCCCCCCCTGGATCCGCCAGTGACTCTATTCCCATCGGTCCCACTCGGAGCACCGAATGGGACTGATGGGAGAAGCGTCTTCCTCCACGGAGTGTCAGAATGTGATGTCACAGTAAATCAGCATAGTTGCACATCGGGTGCCGATGTGTCACGTCGGTCTCTGTGACCGCCGCGTCTGTGGCGCGCTGTGACGCTGCATTGTGTGCCGTTGCAGCGCTGCACGTGCGATACGGAGAGCGGTCCGGGCGGGAGCGGCGTCTGTCCGTCTATCACCTGCGGCCAGAGGTGACCGTCGACCAGCTGAGCTGCGGCACAGAGTACGTGCTGTCGGTGGCCGCCGAGAACCGGCTGGGCACCGGCCCATTCAGCGAGACTGTCCACATCGCCACCGAGGGCGGCAGTGAGTGGGGACACGCTGCTGGCGCCGCCGGGAGCTGTCCCGAGTCACACACGGACTGTGACTGTACCGTCACACACGGACTGAGTCGTCAACTCGTCACTCACCATCTGTTATTCTGTAGCTGTACCGTTACACACGGACTGAGTCGTCACTCGAGATCTGTGGCTGTTCTGTCGCACGCGGACTGTACCGTCACACACGGACTATGCCGGCAGTCACACACAGATTGTGACGCACAGGCGGCCTCTCCCCCCCCTCTCCTCCGGCCTCAGATCGAAGTTCCGCCTGTTCCCAGAGCCGGACCCGCTGCCCCCGGCCTAAGACTGAAGTAGCGGTCCGTCCGTTCCTCAGAGCCGGGCCCGCTACCGGCGGACGCGCTCTCGGCCAACGCCAGCTGCATCCTGGTACGGCTGCACGACTGGCCGGCCGAGTGCTCCGTCCGCCGGTTCGAGGCGCGCCTGCGGCCGGCCGGCGGCGGCGCGCGCTGGCGGCGCGAGGGCCCGTTCCCGGCCGACCTGGACGTGGCCGAGCTGTGCGGTCTGCTGCCGGCCACCGTCTACCAGCTGGTGGTGAGCGCCCACAGCGCGGCCGGCACCACAGAGTCCACCGCCCGGCTGGCCACGCACGCCTCGGACGGAGGTGAGCCCGCGGCCGCGGTCAGAGGGCGCAGCTCCCCGGGCCGGGCCGAGCACGGGCCGGCACAGAGGAGCGAAACCGGCGGCGCACCGCCCGGGGACGTGGGAACTGCTTGTTACTACTTACTGGAGGCACGAACCACCTATAAACCACCTACGTATGCGCATTGCGCAATATGATAACCACCGAACGTAACTTATCTGCACACAATATGCTGCATGTTGAGCATTTCCAGTAACCATTCGCATCCCCTTTTCAGCAACGATATCTCCGCTGCTGCCGCCGGAGAAGTCGGTCGACGTGGAGTCGCCGCTGCTCGGGCACCCTCACGTGATCGCGCTCATCTGCTCGTCAGTGGTGTGCGCAGTGTGTCTGGTCATCTGCCTGACCGTGCTCGTCAGGAGGCGGTGACGCCGGGACTCAGAGCCGGGAGCGTGACCCGTCGGAGGGGTTACCTGTGACCTCCCACCGGGGAGGGTTAGCTACCACCGGGAAGTGTCAGCTGTGACTGAGGAGGATCAGCTGCCACTGGGAAGGCTCAGCTGTCACCGGGGAGTGTTAGCTGCCACCGGGGAGGGTCAGCTGTTACTGGGGAGGATCAGCTGTCACTGGGGAGGATCAGCTGCCACTGGGGAGTGTTAGCTGCCACCGGGGAGTGTTAGCTGCCACCGGGGAGGATCCGCTAAAGGATCAGCTGTCACTGGGGGGGGGGGATCAGCTGTCACCGGGGAGTGTCAGCTGCCACCGGGGAGGATCAGCTGCCACCGGGGAGGGTCGGCTGTCACTGGGGAGGATCAGCTGTCACTGGGGAGGATCAGCTGTCACCGGGGAGTGTTAGCTGCCACCGGGGAGGGTCAGCTGTCACTGGGGAGGATCAGCTGTCACCGGAGAGAGTTAGCTGCCACCGGGGACGGTCGGCTGTCACTGGGGAGGATCAGCTGTCACCGGGGAGTGTTAGCTGCCACTGGGGAGGATCAGCTGTCACTGGGGAGGATAAGCTGTTACCGGGGGATCAGCTGTCACCGGGGAGTGTTAGCTGCCACCGGGGAGGGCCGGCCGTCACTGGGGAGGATCGGCTGTCACTGGGGAGGGTCGGTTATTACTGGGAAGGATCAGCTGTCACCGGGGAGTGTTAGCTGCCACCGGGGAGTGTCAGCTGCCACCGGGGAGGGTCGGCTGTTACTGGGAAGGATCAGCTGTCACCGGGGAGTGTTAGCTGCCACCGGGGAGGGTCGGCTGTCACTGGGGACGATCAGCTGTCACTGGGAAGGATCAGCTGTCACCGGGGAGGGTCGGCTGTCACTGGGGGATCAGCTGTCACTGGGGGATCAGCTGTCACCGGGGAGTATTAGCTGCCACCGGGGAGGATCAGCTGTTACCGGAGAGGGTCAGCTGTCACTGGGGAGGATCAGCTGTCACTGGGGGGGGGGATCAGCTGTCACCGGGAAATGTTAGCTGCCACCGGGGAGGGTCGGCTGTTACTGGGAAGGATCAGCTGTCACTGGGGAGGATCAGCTGTCACCGGGTAGTGTTAGCTGCCACCGGGGAGGGTCGGCTGTCACTGGGGAGGATCAGCTGCCACTGGGGAGTGTTAGCTGCCACCGGGGAGTGTTAGCTGCCACCGGGGAGGATCCGCTAAAGGATCAGCTGTCACTGGGGGGGGGATCAGCTGTAACCGGGGAGTGTTAGCTGCCACCGGGGAGGATCAGCTGTCACTGGGGAGGATCAGCTGCCACTGGGGAGTGTTAGCTGCCACCGGGGAGGATCCGCTAAAGGATCAGCTGTCACTGGGGGGGGGGGGATCAGCTGTCACCGGGGAGTGTTAGCTGCCACCGGGGAGGGTCGGCTGTTACTGGGAAGGATCAGCTGTCACTGGGGAGGATCAGCTGTCACCGGGGAGTGTTAGCTGCCACCGGGGAGGATCAGCTGCCACCGGGGAGGGTCGGCTGTCACTGGGGAGGATCAGCTGTCACTGGGGAGGATCAGCTGTCACCGGGGAGAGTCGGCTGTCACCGGGGAGGGTCGGCTGTTACTTGGAAGGATCAGCTGTCACTGGGAAGGATCAGCTGTCACCGGGGAGTGTTAGCTGCCACCGGGGAGGATCAGCTGCCACCGGGGAGGGTCGGCTGTCACTGGGGAGGATCAGCTGTCACTGGGGAGGATCAGCTGTCACCGGGGAGTGTTAGCTGCCACCGGGGAGGGTCAGCTGTCACTGGGGAGGATCAGCTGTCACCGGGGAGAGTTAGCTGCCACCGGGGACGGTCGGCTGTCACTGGGGAGGATCAGCTGTCACCGGGAAGTGTTAGCTGCCACTGGGGAGGATCAGCTGTCACTGGGGAGGATAAGCTGTCACCGGGGGATCAGCTGTCACCGGGGAGTGTTAGCTGCCACCGGGGAGGGCCGGCCGTCACTGGGGAGGATCGGCTGTCACTGGGGAGGGTCGGTTATTACTGGGAAGGATCAGCTGTCACCGGGGAGTGTTAGCTGCCACCGGGGAGTGTCAGCTGCCACCGGGGAGGGTCGGCTGTTACTGGGAAGGATCAGCTGTCACCGGGGAGTGTTAGCTACCACCGGGGAGGGTCGGCTGTCACTGGGGAGGATCACCTGTCACTGGGAAGGATCAGCTGTCACCGGGGAGGGTCGGCTGTCACTGGGGGATCAGCTGTCACCGGGGAGTGTTAGCTGCCACCGGGGAGGATCAGCTGTTACCGGAGAGGGTCAGCTGTCACTGGGGAGGATCAGCTGTCACTGGGGGGGGATCAGCTGTCACCGGGAAATGTTAGCTGCCACCGGGGAGGGTCGGCTGTTACTGGGAAGGATCAGCTGTCACTGGGGAGGATCAGCTGTCACCGGGTAGTGTTAGCTGCCACCGGGGAGGGTCGGCTGTCACTGGGGAGTCCGAGTGTCGGCTGTTACTGGGAAGGATCAGCTGTCACTGGGGAGGATCAGCCTCCACTGGGGAGTGTTAGCTGCCACCGGGGAGTGTTAGCTGCCACTGGAGAGTGTCGCGACAATGCCCGGCAAAGGCGACACCTGAGTTATCGGGCGTCGGATCACTTCACTGCCGCCGGGGAGGGGAAATTATGCCGCTCTCTGACGGAAATGCCGTGCGCTGCCGCTCCCGCCATGGTGATATTGTGCTTCGCCGCTCCCCGTCTGGGAGGGACAGTGTCCGTGATGGGCGGGGGACTGCGGACTGCGTCCCGCCGCTCCCCGTGCTGGGAGCGGAGGCAGCCCGCCGGCCTGTGGTGGGAGCCGAGGCAGCCCGCCGGCCTGTGGTGGGAGGCGAATCTGCCCGCGTCGTTTCCTGTGGTGGAAGCGGTGACTGTCTGCCGATCCCCGGGGCAGGAGAGACTGCCCGCTTCTCCCCGTGGTGGCAGGGCCAGGGGTGACAGTCGGCCGTTCCGAGGTAAAAGGGGTGACAGTCCGCCGCTCCCCGTTGTGGGAGAGGAGGTGTGTATGTACGGTCAGATATGCTCTGCCCCTGAGGCCCGCCGTATGTACTAGTGATTCGTGACAGGTCTGCGGCGGCGGACATTACGAGTGATAGTAGATGCGCCAATGTATAATGTAATGTGTTATGCCCCTCTGAGGAAATGGCAGGTTTCGAGGAAGTATCACTCAGAAAATTCCAGGCACTACGGTAAAATGTGTTATCTTACGCCCACGAGTACAATGTATAGAAAGACGTAAATGTAAACGAGTACAACTATAATGTTAATGGTGTGCCGTGTAATAAACGATAGCATTGTGATGGATGTTCAGTGTTCACTGCTCACACTAGATGGCAATGACTGTTGTATTACACGAAATCTAATACTAGCGCGACGACCCAAGGTGTCGCAGTAGGAATACGACCGCACCGCCGCCCGAGCCAGGAGGCACACCTAAAGTAATTTTGGGCACACATTGCCCGGAATCAGGGCTCCCATGCCTCTGGATTGTTCCATTTTTACGGAATGGCAGTTTCAAGTTCCGAACCTGCCGCGAAAATGTTTCACACGTGAGATACTCGCCATATGGTAATGTGTGTGCGCAATCTGTGAGCAAGCGTGTTTGCGAGCACAAACTTCTAGCTTTGTTAACTTCGCCAAGGGCCACACTTCTTACAAAGAAATATGAAATTCGTATAGTATTACAACTGATTGGCGCCATAACAAGGTCCAGTTCCATATCACAGTAATTGATCGTCGACCCTCCCGAAACCGTAACGTCGGCCCCGAGACACCCTGGACAAGGTCCCCCCGCTCCACTTCGCTCGCCTGTCGGTGGCAGAGGAGCCGCGGACGGCGGTCACCGGCTCAGCTCCTGTCGGTGTCGGCCTCACGGCGCCCCTCAGCGCCGCCGAGGGCGTCCAGCGCGGCGCGGGCGTTGCGGTAGAGCGGCCGCAGCTCGGGACGCTCGCCGGCACCGTCCACCACGTGCCGCAGCAGCAGCCACACGCTGTCCCCGTCGGCGGCGGCCACGGTGGCCAGCAGGTGTCGGGCGGCGCGCTGCAGCTCCGCCGGCTGCCGGCCGCTCAGGTACGGCCGCGCCGCGCGCAGCAGCGCGCCCACCTCCAGCGGGTCCAGCCGCAGTCGCACGGCCACGTCGCCCAGCAGCTGCAGGCTGGTCAGCTGCAGCTTCCTCGCCTGCGTGTGCGCGTAGCTGGCGGTCGGCCGCTGGGCGGCGCTGGTGGCCGCCTGCGCCTCCAGCCACGCCTGCAGCGGACCGAGCGGCCCGCTCGACACCCGGCGCCGCAGGAAGTCGCCAGCGCCGGCGACCAGCGCGTGCAGCGCCTGCAGGGCGTGCCGCAGCAGCAGCGGGTCGGCGGCGCGGCAGCAGCGCAGCAGCGGCTGCCAGCAGCGCGCCGCCAGCGGCAGCAGCTCGTCCTGCCAGCCGGCCAGCAGCTGCGCGCCCCCGGACAGTGTCCTCAGCACGTCCACCTGCACAGCGATTACGTCACAGTCTAGGAAGTGGACGCTCTGCAGCACCACGTCGCGCACCAGTCGTACGTACAGCGGCGGCTCGGCGGCGCTCTCCGGCTCCGGCTCCGGCTCCGCCGCTGGCGCCGGCTCCGAGTCCCGCTCGTCCCGGTAACGCTGAAAGCCCTCGGCGGGGTCCTCTGTGCTCTGGTCGGCTGCCGCCCGCGCCAGCTCGGCCCGCTGCCGCTGCAGGCGGGCGTGGTGCGCCAGCAGCCGCTTGGCCGGCGGCACCGGCGGCGGCTCGCAGGCCGCGGCGCCCGGCGGGAACCAGGCCAGCACGGCGTCCACAGTGGCGCGCAGCGCCGACAGGCAGGCGGCGCCGCACCGCTCGTAGTCGTCATCCAGCGCGCGCATCACGGCCCGCACCGTCTCCTCCAGGTGCGGCAGCGCCTCCGGGCCGGAGAAGCGCATCAGAGCGGCGGCCAGCAGCGGCGCCGCCTGGCGGCCGCGCCGCTCGGCCAGCCGCCGGCGCACGTGCACGGCCAGCCGGCGCACGTTGTCGGCCAGCAGCGCCGGCACGCCGCGCTCTCCGGCCATGGCCGCCAGCGTGGCGCGCGCCGCCTCGGAGACCATCGGCTCGCCGCCGCCGGCCGCCTCCAGCACCGGACACAGTGCCAGCACGGCCAGCGCCGCGTGCCGGCCGCCGGTGACGCGCGCCACGTGTGCCAGCGCCTCCAGGCCCAGACAGCGGCTCAGCGGCGGCTGGTCGGGCTCCAGCAGCGCCAGCAGCGG